TGGACGCATAGAAATATTAGCAGTTCCTCAGAATAGTGTTACATTATATAAATCACCCAATAACTAGAATAAAAATTTCATATTTTAAAAATTGTAATCTTAAAGCATATCAGAGAAATTTAAATCACTTTGAAGAAGTCCTTGTTTCAGATTTAAACTCAAAATCAAAACATCACACTTTCATTTGGCAGTTGCTATGCATCAGATATTGTGGGGACAGAGATACACTTTTATGTCTTGAGTAGAGAGGACAATTAACTTGTGTCATTCTTCCAGTACTTCCACCTTTACCATTCCAATACAGGGTCTTTTATTGTCCTAAAATTCCGCACACAATCTAGACTGGATGGACAGTGAACACCCAGGGACCTGGCTGTCTCCTTCTCCCCAGCGTTGGAATTACAAGCACATTCTATTATGCCTGGACTTTTTCCACTTCTGTGTATTGAATTCAGATCTTAGTATCTATAAGGCAAATACTTTACTGACTGAACTCTCTCCCCAGTCCAGTGCCAAATGCTATTCTAAGCACATACCTACCAAGCTTTAAAGAGAAGGAGAAAGAAGAATGAAGATGTACTCAGTGCCCCAGAAACCGAGTACCTCCATGAGCTCAGAACAGTGGCTCCCCATAGAACTGAAGCCTCTTCCTTGTAGTTTAACGGGCTCTGACTTTCCGATTTGAGATTCTGACTTATTCCAGACCTCAATTCTGGGGGTATGTGTTCATATATACAGAGTTAAGTGACACACTGTTAGACCTGTACCAGGAATACCGTGGGAGACTGGAAGGACGAGGTCAGTTTGAACATAAGCTAACATTACTCATGCCTGGGGATCGTCACATAGTGACTTCTTTTACTCTTCTGCAAGCTGTTTCCAGATTTCGTCACCAAATTCTTGACTGTCATCTCCAGAAGATTATTGATCTTTCTGACACATCACACACCCCTCCCCCTGTTCTCTCTGACTCCCAGATGGGACTGCTTCCATATATGCTGACATTCTAGTTGTGACACTGGCCCAACCCTCTCTGCTCCAGCTACCTCTGCCATTAGATCACTCTCTACCTAATTAATACCCAATGCTAAATGTATTTGCTGATTTCCCATACAGGATGCATGCTGTGGCCGTTTTAGTAATAATTCAATACTATGATGTAGTTATACCAACCTTTTTTTAGTACAAATTCTTGTTTTCTGTCATAACTGTAATTACCAATATCTTCATGTTTTGTCCTTAAATTCTCCTGATTACTATTAACAAATAAAGTGGAAACATAAAAACAACTTTTGTTTGTCTCTCATAAAGTGTCAATGCTCTTTCTGGGAAATCCCTACAACTAAATATGTATTTCTCCAGGATGACTGTAGGGCTGCATGTTGGGCTGTACTCCGGCACTCAGTATGTCTTTGCAACTAGTGAGAGGCATGACAGGCAGAATACAAGACATGGAATATGCTTCGTTCCCACTCTTCTTCCTTCAACATGTCTTCTTGCCAGGGTGGCCTATGGCCAAGCTACCATCATGATCATGTAAAATAGGACTTGCGCCCTCTGGTGGTAAGAAGATCCTCCCAGGGAAATAAATGCCTGTGTGAAGAAACTAACCAAGACCTTACCCAGGCATAGAAAATGCCCCGACCCCATTTGTTAACCTTGGATAAGATCAGTTCTTTCCTTTTCTAACCCTCTTTATTTGATTCCCCCATTTTTTGTAACACCTTAATCCCGATTCTGATCTAGTACTTTAAGAAGGAACTCATTGGAGAAACTCCAGGATGATGACAGTATTGGGTATCATGACTTGTGACGACATAGGATCTGATTCACGAGAGACTGTCAGTGCATGCCACAAGAGGTTTGCCATTTGTCATGATGACAAGACAAAACATGAGCACAAATACATGCTGAGAAAAGTTTCTCCGCTAGAGGAGGAAAATATCGATTCATTATTATAATTGATGAATGCAAACTTTGAGGAAAATGGTTCACTATTTGCAAGTTACTAGCATTAAAAACAACACTTTCAAAATATAAATTGGATCCTGCCTAAAGTTAAGAGGGAAAGGTGACCACTCAAAATCTCTGCTCACCACATTCTGTTCTTACAAGGATTTCTATGATGTCAACATGCTATTTGTCTCCCAGGAATACATTGTTGCTGCAATAGTATCTCACTGGTTGTTGTTCTGTGCTCTGAAAAAGTTCATTGCATCTGTAAATACATCTTACTTCTGTCAAACTTGTTTAAATCTTTACACCGGAATCTAAGCTCTCAGGCACAATTCCATGTAGCAGCTTACTAATAAATAACTTTAGGAAAAGGGCTACTTCCATTTTTATTCTATAAGGAAAAAATATCATTGTCCCTTGAGTTACCATGGTTAGAAAAATGCCTACATAAGAAAAGAAATTTAATTAAGTTCGGTTGGAGCTAATTTAAACTGGCATTATTCTTTTAATCAAATTTAATTTCACTTGGAACTATTACTCTTCCTTCATATTTTATAAATACTTGTAGAGTTTAAAGCCTGCAAATTATCAGTAGCATATAATTAAACAGGAAAGTGATAGAGGTTATCTGTCATTCAAGCTTTAGATGTGGCAAGGGATGCAACAATTGACTATAGAGAAGAGACAAACACTATATGCCAAGTAAGGCAGGAAATGGAAAAACACTGGATCTAGTAAATGAAACCATAATAACTAACCTCTTTCTGGTGCTGCTTCTGGCTCTCTAGAAACAGATCTTGACAGTCTATGGAGGCTTCCGAAGCCTGTTCTTATCTCATTCCCGCTTCTTCATACTGGGCTCATGCCAAAGTCCACAGGTTTAAGATCTCATATGAGATTAACTTGGCTACCTTCCCCACAGCACTCCTTACACTATCCTTCATAATCTATTAATGTACATTATATGTGTAACGTACCCCAGTATCTCCATTTTGAACTACAGCCCATACATCCCTCAGTAAGGACTTTCTATTTCTTTTCTTGCTGTTAGGAATGTTCTTCTTTCAGATGATCCCTTAATTATTTCTTCCACTTTACACAGGTCAAGGAATCCACCTCAGACCATCATGTGATAAAGTATTGTTTACAGAGCTGTGTTTGGGGGCTTTTGAGAGCCTGGGGTGCTGGAGAGTGGAGAAAGCATGGGCATTCCCATTCCTGAAGGGGCAGGATGAGGACAGAACACTACTACAGCCCAGTGAGAGCACAAGCTGTGAGGATTACCAACAAGGGCCAGAGACACAGGATAGAGTAGAAGAAGGGAGGTGGAAGAGAGAAGAAATGGCCTGCCCCGAGTTTTCTTCCCCTTCCATTGAGATTTTCTGCAGTGCCAAACCATGACAGAAGCAAGCAGTCAAAATACACAGGTCAGACTGTCCACATCTCAACCTCCCTGGAACAAAGCAGGACATGGTAGGATGTATCTAGTGGGCACATGAGTGACCAGGAGTGAGACTACTCAATGGCCATTTCCTGAAAATTATTTCCAGGGGTCAATATCTAAAATGATATCTCATTCATATTCTTTCTGTAGCCCTTATATTTATCTGACATTGCTTTAGATTGTTCAGGCTTTTTTGCTGTTTCCCCCCAAAATATAAGCTCTACAATGGGCAGGCTTCATCATTTTATTAAGTGTTATATCCTTACAAATTGAAATGTCTCCTACTGCACAGCAAGAGTACAATAACTATTAGGTGAACAAATCCAACCCTCCCCTCACTACCTGAAAGTATTTGTGTCTGATAAAATCAGGGACATGCAGTCAACTCTCAACGTTCCTAAGTAAATTAATCACACATATGAACTCTCCACTCTAGCCTTTCCAAGGATCTAAAACATCATTCAGGTCGCCTTATTTACCCTATTGATTAAAACTGATAAATATAAACACTTTATAGACAACATACACATGTTGACTATATTTCACATTCTTTCTTTATTAAAATATAAAACCTAATCTCAAAACTAAAGGGATACTGATGTTTGGGGAGGACAACTGACGACACCATACTCAGTGTCTGGACAGTCTTTGCAATGGTCTTAAAAGGTGCAATGCACAGAAGGTATGCAATGCACTATATGGAGAATGTGTTTAAAATACTTCTGCTTACTTGTTCTTTTTCAGTGGGATACTTGATCTGTTAAACTATTTTAACCACATTAAATAAAAAAAAGAGTATGAAATATTATGCCATTAAAAATACAGCAAGTGTTACTCTTAAAAACAGCAAATATTTCTCTAGAACACTTTTTAACAATTTTTTCTTCCTATTAACTACCGTGACAGGCAGCTGACCAGCTCAAAAACTGATGGCTTTAGGGGGCTCTGTTTATAAGAAAATGGGGTTTGACTCTTCTTTTTCCTCATTCTTTACAAAATACATTTTTTTTCAGTCTTCTTTATGTATCTTCTTTCTTACAAGACAGACACCCTCAGTTTGTTGCACAGGATTTCACACACCATCCTTTGTGCAAATGCCCTCATTCTCACACAAGATCACCTTTCCCTTTAAAGTCAAGACTCCAAAGCCTATGCCTCAAGCGTGGGTGTGGTCAGAGTTGCAGGGTGGCTGTCTCTTTCTCACTGAGAGATTCTGTTTACACCAACACAATTTTCAAGATCAAATTAAGTTTTTTTTTTCCCCCTAAACCACAAGACATTACCGACCAGCACCGACCTGTTTCTATAAATGTTGCTCAGTCTCGCTTGCCAAAGCAACTGGAAAAGTGCACATTTGTTCCTGTGCTTCCTCCAAGATGGCAAAGGTCACTCATGTTTCCCACGTGGTGCATGAGAGATGTCAACATAGGTACCATAGACCAATATGTACCAATAGGTACCAGAGACAAAATTCAGTCCACAGAAGTTAGTCATATGTTTACCTATGTGTGTCTTCCATACATCCTTTCAATGCATCAGAAGTGAGGGCAGGAATGAGTCTGCCATGAATTCCACCAGATACCAGTCCCAGCAGACTTACCTGCAGCCACTATGATAATATCTGCCAGCTGAGTGTGGACCTTTAGTTGCGCCCTGGGTGTGTATCTGTGTGCTATCGTCACAGTTGCATCGCCTGCAATGCAGAAGAGTTTCCATTAGTGGCTACTGTGCTTTCCAAATGTTAGAACGAGGGTTCTAAATGTGAGGTGGTTTTTGTTGCAACCCATGAATAGGAATGTTGCTTTGGCCTGATTAAATCACTTTGAAAATAAAAGAGAGAGAGAAATTCTAGATGAACCAAAATTAAAAACAACAACAACAAAAAAAATCTGTCTTTCATCTGCATACTCAGAAAACCAAATGAGGCTAAAATGAGGTAAGAGAGGCCTATTCTTGGATAGGCATCTTTTTAAATTTTGTGTGGACTATTAATACTTTGGCATTAGGGCTATACACAGGTATATTAATAAGTACAGAAAGTAACAAGCTAAATGTTCTGAAAATAGACAATGTATTGCAGAAGAACAGATGAGAAACTGATTCTGCCAAGAGGGGGTATCAAGAACCAACAGGTTTCTAATGGAGGCAGAGTATGTCATTGTTTCCAAACACGAGTGTAACAGTTTAGAAAAAGAAGAAAAGAACACATCAAGAGAGAAGATAAAGCAAATCAGTGTGGGGACTGTGTTTAGGAAAAGGCAGCTCAGGGAGGAATGAAACAGAGGAGTAGTCCCAATAGGAGTCACTGGGAAACTGTAGGGGTGTGAAAGGCTAGGCAGCATCTCCACCCTAACCCTCACCAGGAGTATCGTGCAAATCACAGATCTACAAAAATCCTTCCATTAATGATGAGTAATAAATCAATAAACAGCCCCACAAAGGACAAATCTAAGGTTACTTGGGGAGGTGATGAAACTGTTAGGACTCCAGAGGTGACTAGTCTAGTCATAATGACTGTGCATGTATCCAAATCCATGGAACTATGAACCAAATGCAGTACTTTTAATGAAAAGCTTTAAGGGAAATATTTCAAAAGTGACAGAAAAAAAAGAAAAAATTAGACAAAAATGAAAACAAAATGTGTTTTAAGCAATTTAATGATGTATTAAAAAGCAACAAAAAATTATTGTGGAAAATTGAACATTATGAACAAACATAGTATGTTTTTAATTGGAGCTTATAGTAATAAAAATCAGGGGGAAATGGCATGAATCTATCCAAATTGACCTATAATGGCCAAAACTGAGAGATATTTCAAAAGAAAAAATATCCTATAAATGAGCAGGCAAAATTCAAATTTTTATATTCAACATCCCTACACACACCCCAAATAGAAAAATTCCCAGACAGAAAGATTCATGTGAAGAAATTTGGATGAAAGAACTTTCGAACCAGCCGGTCAAATTAAGATTAGGAGTTGCAAACCATTTTGAAAAGACATGATCTTGGAGAATATTGTTCATAAATGAGAGGATCTAGCTAAAACTGTGTTTTGATTTACCAAATGCATTTGCAGAAATGTCAAAAGGACTACTGGAGAGATGTGACATGTTTTATTACAGAAATAAGACTTTGAAACATGTGAAGGTTGGACTGACAGACTTCCACAGCTTGGTACCCTCTCCTAAGTCATATTGAAATATAACTGCCATGGCATCAATATTAAGAGTGGGACGAGCAGTGTTTATTCAATGCATGAGAGCCCTCGTGATTAATGCTGCTGTGGGAGTGGATTCCTTATGAAAGAAGGACCTCAGCAGCATTGTCTTGTGACACTCACCCTTTAAGCGGTAAAGAAATGAGCTCTGTTACCCTGTGGTACTCTGCTATAGCAGCAAAAATCTGACTCAGACACTTACAAATGACAATGTTATTTGCTTGGATTATATATAGAGAATGCAACACACAAAGGTAGAATGGGAAGAGAAGGCCAAGTCTGCTGGTTGCTCATACATAATAATGGGAATCAACAAGTTGTTCTAAAAACTAGTCAGTCAACAACACAGGTGTAAATTTTAAAATATAAGTAGTCTCAAAGATGAATTTTATTGATTAATATCAGGTAAAAAACAAAAACTGAAATCAGAAATAAAGTAAGAACATTCTATCAATTCTTTTACAGTACTAATAGATACTATGCAAATATAGAGAATTAAATCTACTATGTTGTAATTATTAAGACAATAAAATCTTAAATATTAAAAAATATAGGCAAAAAGATTAAAACAAATACAAATAGAATAGAAAGTACATTGAGAAATCTAATCATATATATTTGCCACAAAAAAAATAAAAAATTTTCAGTCATCTATAAAGCATAATGGAAGAAGAAATTCAATAATAAATAGGACAAAGATTACACATTAGAAAGCAAAGAGGTGGTCTGGGATTGGTGGCCCACACCTTTAATCCCAGCACTCAGGAGGAAGAGGCAGGTGAATCTCTATGAGTTCAAGACCAGCTGGTCTACAAGAGCTAGTTCCAGGACAGGCTACAAAGCCATAGAGAAACCCAGTCTCGAAAAAAACAAGCAAACCAAAAATAAATAAAAAATTTTTAAAAAGTTTACTAATAAAATACTGAGAGAATTCATTAAGTTATCCAAGGAAGAAATGAAAATATAAAAAGAAATGCCACACACACACACACACACACACGCACACACACACACACAGATGTATGTATATGTATATAATAACATGTTAGAAAACAATGGAAGAAGACCTCATTGTAATAGCAGATCAAAAGTTATCACAACCAAGAAAGATGTAAAATGTGCTATAAAATTCCCTAGAATAATACCAAAAGACAGAGGGACTAGAGAGACAACCATGTCCCTGGGCAGAAAGTTCCACCATAATGATGACCATTCCCCAATGTCTGTTGCAAAAATAGTACAGCTCCCATGAGGGAAGCATCTAATTGATTCTAAAATTAGCATGGAAAACATAAATGAAACTAACCAAAAAATTTCTGGAAAGTAGAAATAACTAGCAATAACTGGTCAGCCTGTGTGGTTTGTCCTAGGTACTTGACATAAAAGCCCACATTTTCCTTTGTTTATCTTTTCTTTCTTTCTTTTCTTTTTTTTTTTCACTACATCTGCCCAAAAGAAGTGGTTATGAAAGCATTTAGTCACTAAGAAGTCCAATTTCCTATTCAGAAGAGTCCCCTTACACCTAGACCACTCACTCAGTTTCTCTTGTCCCAAAGGAGAGTTTTTCAAATCTCTACTAAAAACTAAAATAAAATGAAATAAAATCAGTCCAAATTTACCTTTCTATCAGTACTGATGATTCAGTAAGGAACTGAGAGATATCTGATGCCACAATGAGTTATACACACATGAATACACACAGACTAGCAATCTGTGGAGTTTAATGCAAACTAAAATCTGAATTTCAAACTTCATTAAAAATTTATTATACTCTGTTACAAGCACTTTCCCGCCAGCCTGGTCCCACAGCTGCGTCAGCCCCAAACACAGAGACATGTGTTAATTATGAAGCTCTTGGCCAATGACTAGAGCTTATTGGCTAGCTCTATCATAATTATTAACCCATAATTACTAATATTTCTACTAATGTATTTCTACATGGTCTTATCTTACCCAGAACTCAGGCATCCTCTCCTCCAGAGATCACATCAGGACTCCTCTCTGCTACATCTCCCAGAATCCTGCTTGTCTCCTAGACCCACCTATCTTGCTTCCCTATTGGCCAACAGTGCTTTATTGATTAACCAATAAGAGAAACATATTTACATAATGACATCTCCCATCAATAGTCACATCACTACTTCTTAAGTGACATCAACTTAAGTTGATACTCTAAAAAAAGTTTGGCTAGAAATGGCCATACTAAAGTCATATTTACTGATGATAACCAAACCACAGCAAGACTGTTGGCAGGCTACTTGGCAGCCTTTTGATGTTAGCAAAAGGAACATGAACAGAAGGAGTTAAAAGCAAAGGTGTTAAGACTTCTGACTCCTGCTGGAGAGCACCTTGGTACTATTCCTGGTATCCAACTTTCTGAACAACTATACATCTTAGTTGTCATTATGTGGAGATGAGATCATATGAAATGCAGAGAAATCTGTTCACAGACACTATAATATCTTCAGTTAGAAGTAACAGTTGTCTTACTAGAATGTACTAGTTGAGGCAGTGGCATCATAGAAATATTTTATACACTGTGCTGGTGTATTAAACATGCTGTAGGTGAGACAGAAGTCAAGGACAGACTGAACTTCTGGTGAACTCATGGAACAACTTACCAAGATGGTATATTAATTTTGCATTACTATAACATACACTTGAGGGAAAATGTTTGGACTCAGTTTAGAAGTTTCAGCATATAATTAGGCGGCCTCCTTGCTTCTGGCATGTCATGAAACATCGGAGCAGAAGCTGTGCTAGCACAGAACCATTCATTTACCTTGTAGCCAGCAGCAAAAGAATAAAGGCACTAAGGTACCACAATTCTCCTCCAGAACATGCAACCAACAAACCCCAAGGCTTCCCACTGAGTCCCACCTTCTAAAAGCTCTATTTACTCTCCAATACTCCCAACCCTGCCCTGGGAGGAAATCTTTACCATCTGCATCCTTGGTAGACACTTAGGATCCAAACTATGGATCAGACAATGGTAATAAAATTAGAAGGGTGCATAAGTAAGTATTTACTGAGCCATGCCTGTCAGATTGTTTAGTGGATACAAGAGTTGAGAGTGCAGTTGGTATTTTTGAGCCATGGGACTGCAAAGGATCTCCTAGGGCAGTGGTTCTTAACCTGTGGGTCATGACTCCTTTCACAGTGTCTTAGTTAAGGTTTCTATTGCTGTGGTAAAACACCATGACCAAAGAGCAAGTAGGGAAAGAAAGAGTTTATTTGTCTTAAACTTCCACATTGCTATTCCTCACTGAAGGAAGTCATGACAGGAACTCAAACAGGGCAAGATACTGGAGGAGGAGGAGGAGAAAGAGGAAGCAGAAGAGGAGAAGGAAGAGGAGGAGGAGACGCAGTGGTCACAGAGGGAAGCTGCTTATTGGCTTGTTTGCCCTGGCTTGCTCAGCCTGCTTTCTTACAGAGCCCAAGACTATAAGCCTAGGGATGGTACCAGCCACCTCAGG